TTATCGTGTCTCACGGTGTTGTCGCTTGCAGATTTACTTATACTTTTTCTTCAACCCTGAAGATGGGGGCGATACGTTCCTCCGAAACGTCGGTTAACACCACATATACACGGTGCCAAATCCCAGAAGACTGCATTCTTCAATATTAGAATGGATCTTAGAGAGATAAGATGGCATAGTATGGATTGGATAGATCTGGCTTAGGATAGGGACCAGTGGAGGGCTCTTGTGAACATGGTAATGAACCTTCGGGTTCCATAAAATGCTGCAGAATTGGCGGCTCCTCCAGAAGGACTCAGCTCCATAAGTAAGTAAGTAAGTGGGGTGGAGCTAAGTCCCTTGTACTGCGACCACTTCTGGCCTATTCTACCAGCCCCAGATGATACGAGAGGGTGGTTGTGGAGGAATTGGTGGAATGAAGATTGGCAGGGAAACCGAAGTTCTCGGAGAAAACCTGCCCCAGTACCACTTTGTCCACCACAAATCCCACCTGACCAGAACCGGGATCGAACCCGGGCCGCCGTGGTGGGAAGCCAGCTACTAACCGCTTGAGCTATGGCGCTATCAGACCAGTCCTTAAGCAGTGGGAGCAGAAGTCTTGATTTTGTAGTACCCTACCCATAGACAAGAGCCTCCTTCGCCCTTCGCAGTTTACAAACCGCACCAATATCCATCATCTAAGCCTTGTCTTACCCAGTTATAGACCCTAACTGTTCTAACTATTTTTATTAAATTTAAGTGATCTATGGCAACCATCACCCTGGCAAAGCGTGAAACCAGAGGAGGAAGGCAGAGGGCTAAGCTCAAGTAATGCTCGGGGTATCTCAACTACAGGGCGTTAAAATCCAGGAGACGGTACTGTTCATTGTAACCTCTGTGAGACCCTCATACACAAGTACCACAGTGTCTTCTATATTATGGGCAGTCACTTCGCCCCTATGGTGGGGTCAGTGAGGGTATCAGAGATGCCCCCTCCTCTCCTCCCATAAAGTGGACTCTACGTTAGCATTGTACAGCCGCGGAGGAACACGGCGATCCCTCAAATCTTGGAAACCTGTGGTTCTCTACTGCTTTATTACAAGCAGACAGTGACTGCCATTGTTCCGTTGCGCACTTACGGCTTAGGCGGGTATTAATGTGTGGAATTTCATTCACACTAATTAATTTAAAGAGCCCCTTAATTTCAAGGTCTAATTGAACCTCTACGCACGCCCATATATGCTGAAAGCTTTGACAGATTTCCATGTAACTCCTTGTCTATAAGGTATCTAAGAGCTTAATCTCCTTTATGGCATCCTATTATTCTCTATTGTTTGCCTCCTGACTTCATCTCTTCACGTGCAACTCTCGTGAATCATTCTCTGCATCTTCAAACCAACTCGATTTGGCGTTCCCACTTCTGGCGTACTTTCAGAGCTGTTTCAATAACTCGTATGTGGTCCATTTTGTGCACTTGCCTCATACGACAGTTATGTGTTTATTGCTGTGGGCACATTTCATTAATTTTAATTTAATTTAACAATATTTATTGCCAGGATCGTAAGAAATAACGTGCTGTGTTTCCTTGTTGCAGTGTTCAAACGTCACGACGTCACCCTACACCACGTACCGACACCCAACATCGGCTTCTCCAAGGTGAGTAGAGGACAAAGTAGCCATAAGGGTAATTTTGCACTGCGTGATAGGGTGACTCCAAAAAAGTTCGAGACCTCGAAAGGTTGGGACTTAACCTTGGGCTATCATCAGAAACCCTAGTAGGATTTGAGGTTCTCTCATCGGTGTAGGGTAAAAAATTCTCTTCTCCGCAGCGTCCAGACCGGATCTGGGACCCCCTCAGCCCTAGCGATAAAGCGGCCGAGGCGTGAAGCTGATCATTCACCTCCAACTAGTGTCGAGGTCAAGAAAACGTGGATCTATACATCCATTCCCCATACGTCTTCATGGCGTAATGCTTAATTAGTTAATCACATGGATAACTTTACTTTTGCATAGATTTACAATATGAAGTCTGTTGGTCCTTTCACGAACCAGCCTCTATTTCCTGCCGTAGTTTTGTCAGGCGAATAAAAGAAGGATTTATTTCGCGTCTTTTCAGACTTCTCAGTGCAGGGTTCCCCTAAAAGGATTATACTTAAGGAGCCACGTAAGAAATGCAATGCTTTCATTTGTCACTGCTGCTTCCACCTGTGCAGTCGTGCATAGCTTGGTTAGAGTGGGTTTAATCAGGTTAGAATAAGTTACATTAGGTAAGTTTAGGTTAGTGCATCGTACGACTGCTCATCCACCAGGGCTTTCAGGCAGATCCTGGTTAATTATACATTATGTTACATTGAGATAAGTCGGGTTGACGCGTACTAGAAAGCAATCACCTGCGCATCCAAACACAGTTTTCGATTACTTTTTAAAATTTGGGAAATGTTTGGATTTTTAAATACTGCAAACTCTCGAATATTTTAAATGTGTTGAAATGTTTTAATTTTTCGGAACATTAAAAAAAAATTTTTTTTCGAATTTTGACAGAGATTTTAAGACCGAAAATTCTTAATTCTTAACAATTTAAAGTATTATAAAATTTATGATAATTTAAAAATTTCAAAATTTTTAATTTAACTTATTTTCTGACACTTTACGAAATTACATAATTTTCGGACTAGAAATTTTTAGAAAATTTTCTCGTCTTTTACATTTTAGAACATTTCCGAATTTACTCAGTTTTCTAAACTTGTTCACTATTTTCTAGATAACGAAAATTTTAACAATCATTGAATGTTCGGAAAATAATAAATTTCACGGAAGTTAAAATTTTCAATCGTTTAAGTAAATTTAAAAATGTGATAATTTTCAAATTGGCGAGACTGCGTTACATTAAGTTTAACCTGAGATAATGTTAATTTATGTTGGAACATCAGATCATTGTGCATCCACCAACTTGCCTCCCTGCACATTCAGACAGAGGTTGAGCAGATTGTAAATTTATAAATGATTGTGCGTTTCGTTGTGTTAAGTAGATATCTCATGGTGAGTGTGTTTGGAGATGTCACTGATGTGATAGTTGAGAGATGGCTGCGAGTTTGTTGCAGGCTGAAGTCCTGGGTTGTTCTTCTGTGCTGTCTTATTGTCTGAGACTATTCTGTCATGGCGCTTAAGAGTTGTCTGACCCAGTTTAGGAAAGTTTTAAAAATATATAATTAAAAAATAATTTTTAAAGTGTAGGAAGAGTTTGAACCACTGGGAAGACCAAGGCGTAAGTGGGTGGACAATATTAAAATGGATCTTAGAGAGATAGGATGGGATGGTATGGATTGGATTGATCTGGTTCAGGATAGGGACCAGTGGAGGGCTCTTGTGAACACGGTAATAAACCTTCGGGTTTCATAAAATGCTGGGAAATTCTTGAGCAGCTGCAGAATTGGCGGCTTCTCCAGAAGGGCTCAGCTTCATGAGTGAGTAAGTAAGGAAGAGTTTAAAATATTCTTAATTTTAAAATGTTTATTTTTTTTTTTGTAATTTCCAGAACTTTTGAAAGGAGATTACCCTAAGTTTTAAAATTTCGGAGATTTCAAGATTTTAAAATTGTTGGAAATGTGGTTTTCTAGCACAGAGCGGTAGTATCATACCCGTAGCCACCGTGAAGCCCAGCGCCACGGCTGTGAGCTGTGTGAGACGTACAAAAATCCCTGCATCTTAGTGGGACAATCAAAATCTTTGCGCAACCCAACGTCATAGTTCACGACCCGCCCAACGTCCTGCATGGAACAGTTCTGCATTTGTTGATAGCCTACGGCTGCATTTCTCTTCAAGGCACGACTTCGAGTTCCGGTCGATAGCATTTTATATCTTGTATATGAAACATGGCAGTTAACTTCCCTGCTACAAAAGCCGGAGATATAAAGAGATTAATTCAGACGGTGCCGTCTGGGGATAAAAGTAAAGATCGAAGGAGGGAGTGAAGAACATGATGGATCCAACCAGATAAGAAGAACCCACTGACCCTGTTGCTGCGGGTTACCTGCTGGGGTCAGCCAGGGTACGACCCGAAAGTTTTAGTGGTGTAGTCTAGGGATTCCCACGAGGGCCTCTTTGGTGGGCGCAATAAAGAGTAGACCTATATTTTGAATGATTATAGGCAGGCATTACTCCTGCAGCCGACAATAAACCTCTGCTTCCGGTATGTCCTTTCTTAGACTCTTCAAGAAATTCTGCGTTGTATAAAAGCAAATAATAATTTCACTATTTCTGCTTTTTCTGCTTTCTTCCTCTTACATTTCATGTGGTCTTTCTCCTCTGGTTTCATCCTTCCTTCCCCATTTCTTTTCACTGTCTGTTTTGTTTCCTTTGTGGAGTATTTTTATTTATTTTTCTTTCATTAGTTCATTCCAATCTCTCTTTTTTCTTTTTTTTCCTATTCTCGTTTTTTCTTCCTCAAATACCCCATGCATACATTAGAGCTTTAAAAATAAATGTAAGTTTCTAAATATGTTTGACTTTCAGTAAATCTTCTATTACGCTGTAATTGGTAGCTCTGCATCTCCGGAGTGTAGAAGTTAGAAATTGCTTACTTGAATTGGAAACATTTCTTAAAACTAACAGTCCTGTTCAAGTAGCCTATGGCAAAGTTTCCTCAACGAATTTCAGTGTAATAACAGGTGCAGTAATCAATAGATTGTTCAAGAAGTTCGGAAATTTCAGTGATATTCTGATTGTGAGGGCAAGAGTCAGTTCGAAGTTTGAATACCTCTGCAGGTATTGAAGAAACACTTGAAAGGAGGCTGGGTTATGGCTCTTGCCGTCAGGTGGGGTGAAGTTGACAACCGCTCTTGCGTCAATTCTTTGACTGAACTTTCGTTTGCTGCAGTGTGCTTGCCAGAAACAGTTACTTTGACAAGTCAGTATTTCGCCCTTCGCTTGCAGTCACAGAGGGTGAATTTTCTCACATTGACGGTCGTAGATGCCGAATCAACTGCAGAGGTTATTTAATGTCGACTTATATGATAAGATAGCATTCGGTGAATTAAGAGGACTGGCGAGGACGCGGTCATGTCCTGTTTTAAGGAACTAATCCGACATTCGTTTAGAGCTACTGATCAAAATCACGAATGACCTCATCATTCAGGATAGTTGATGTTATAGCCAAGGTTCGAACGAAGTTCCTCCCGAATATAATTCAGAAACCAACTTCCTGTAACTGAAATATTTTCACCTTAGAAAATTTCCATATATTTCTATGTGTTTTGACATCTTCTGTAATATCGTACTGTGAATGGATCTATTTATGAAAATATACTATTTAAAACTTATCACTTGTTATCCATGTGTGCAAGAAGTGCATGAATATAAAAGAAACAAACTCCGTGGCTTGAGTCCACAAGCGAACTATACTGACCGAGCGACCGCCGCTTGTCGGCGAAGTTAATGCCAACTTTAGGGATACAGAGTGTCACGTGGTCAACGCAACGAATCCCCACGGTAATTAATTTCGATTTTCTAGACCGAACGTGCATGAATATATTCGTCCAAAATTGAAAACGTCTGTATTGAAAAACAAGGGGCCATCAATGAGAATCCTCATAGAGGACATATAAGTATATTTCTCTTATAACAAAATATAGTTTGATTGTATAAACTGTTGCCTTCAATACGTCTCCTCTTAACCACATAATAATTCCTATGTCTGATCTAGTTTTTGTGCACGCGACTGTCTCCGTGTGGTATATGGCTTCTGTCCTCCATTAAATGGACTGTCTTGTCTGGTAGACTATGTATGAGGTGAATTTTGGATTGACACATTCGTCTCACGTGAACCTCGAAATCAGTGACAAGATTCATTCATTTCTCACATCAAAGTCACTTAGACGCAAGAGGCCGAGATATGCTGCCTGTCCATTTAAGGCTTTACACCACAATTCACCGACACTTTAATATGGACGTGAAATAAGAACGACATCAAAAAGAAAGGATCCCCCCCCCCCGAAGGAGACTTCGCTCTTCACATTGTTGCGCGGACAGAAGCACTGTCGACGTGTACCATGTACGGTTACAGTAGCCTGTAATTTATCTATACATACCGTATATATGGAATGTTCCTTTTTCACCAAAGTCTATTTCATGGCTATATTTTCCCGAGATTGTTAGTTTGGTTCCTGCTCTGTGCTCTTTTAGCAAAAATTGAAACTGTGAATGAACTGATAGCCCTTTCTCTAGTTACAGACATTTAAGGATTTATTTCTTGTTGAAGTTTCTTACAGGGATGCACAATTGCATAATTTTAAATGTTATGGATGTGTAAGTTTATGTTTCATGGAATTAAGATATTTTTAAGGGAGGTAAGAGAGTTCTTAGCCGGTCGCGGTAGCCGAGCGGTCTAAGGCATGCGCTGTCTTCGCTCGCTCGGAAGCAGGGATCGTGGGTACGAATCCCAGTCATGGCATGGATGATTGTGTGCGTTTTTCTGTGTTTGTCTATAGGTAGAGGCCTTGCGACGAGCTCATCACTCGCCCAAGGAGTCCTACCGAATGTGTAAGATCTAGTAAACCGAAGTGAAACGGAGAGTTTCATGGAGGTAGGCCTAGGCCCAAAAATTGGGGCTGTGACGCCACAGAAAGAAAAGAAAGAAGAAAGAGAGTTCTTATGTTTCA